TGACCTTAGGAAGGTCCCAGGCCTTGAGGTCACATTTGGATCCAGTGTGGGCACACCTTCCCCCCCTCTCCCCCCCCCCCCCCACACCTTTCCCATCCCTGGCCTAGATAAGCCCTGGCCTGGGGCTCTCTCCACCTGGCCAAGCCTCTCCACCATGTAGGGCAGAGGTTGGGGGGGGGGGGGGCAGCAGTTCGGTAAATAAACTTCTTTTCCTGCCTGAATATGGCCTGGTGTTCTCTTCATTGGCTAACTAATGAAACCTACCTATTTAACATACCTTACAATAGGGAAACTATGTGTAGTCTTGTGAGGAACCTCCATACTGCTTTCCAGAGTGATTGAACAAGATTACATTCCCACCAGCAGTATAGTAGCATTCCCTTTTGGCCACATCCCCACCAGCTTCTGTTATTGTTAGCTTTCTTTTTTTTTTTTTTTTTTTTTTTTGGGTCCAGTCGTGAGGCCTGTACTCTGGGCCTGGGCGCTGTCCCTCAGCTCTTCAGCTCAAGGCTAGTGCTCTACCACTTGAGCCACAGCACCACTTCCGGCTTTTTTCTTTTTCCTTATGTGGTGCTGAGGAATTGAACCCAGGGCCTCAGGCATGCAAGGCAAGCACTCTACCACTGAGCCACCTTCCCAGCCCCAATTATATAGTTTTTTTTTTTTTTTTTTTTTTTGTCAGTTGTGGGGCTTGAACTCTAGGCCTGGGCGTTGTCCCTCAGCTCTTCAACTCAAGGCGAGCGCTCTACCACTTGAGCTACAGCGCCACTTCCTATTGTTAGTTTTCTTGATAGAGGCTATACTAACTGGGGGTGAGGTGACATCTCAATGTTGTTTTGATTTAAAGATCGAGACTGAAATGAGGAGAGCAACTCCATTTGTAATAGCCTCAAAAAATAAAATTAAATGAACCACTAGAAATTAACTTAATCAAAGATGTGAAGGACTTCTATTAATGAAAACTTAATAAATCTGAAAAAAGAAATTAAAGCAGATTTAAGGAAATGGCAAAACTTTCTATGCTCCTGGACTAGAAGGATTAACATCATGAAAATGGCAACACTGCTAAAACTATCTACAAATTCAATGCAATATCCATCAAAACTTTCTTACTTTGACTTTTACATCGTCTGTGTTGTTTTGTAGTACTTTTTTTTTACTTCTGTTTGCTTCTTACATCTTATATCTGGAGTCAGAAAAAACAGATTTTATGTATTTTTGCTTCCACTTTATATATGTGTATGGGCACATGTACATGTGCATTTGTTTGGTTGATATTAATTTTAATTATAAAAGTAATCTTTACTACTATTCAATTTTAAAACTTCTAGATAAAGCATTATTTACCAGAACTTGTTCCAGCTACTTTGAAATAGAGACAGTATCTCAGGAAAGTTAATATCTGGGAATGCAAAGTAGATGAAATTTCCTAAAAAGTCGACTTTAAAAAAATTAAAGAACAAAGAGACATTGTTTGTATCTTCAGGCCCACATATATCTGTTGATTGTTAAAATTCTGTCTTGAAGTAAAGATCACAATATGTCAAGGTATATGATCTGCCCCCAGAAAACTTAAAATCTAGAAGGAACACAAAATTTGTAGCTGAAATATAAATATAAGTAACTTTTAATACAAGATGTATATATCCCATAGAAGTACAGAGTTTTCTTGGGTGCAAAGGGAGAAAATAATGTGCTCTCAGGAGGGCTAAGACAGAGAAAGGTGCTTTGGATTATTTAACCAGATTGGCAGGAGAGAGTTGATGACCATGGAAAGGATCACCCATGTACTCTCTTACCTTCTTTCAGCAAAAATGCTAATCTGCTTCCTTGAATCTCAACTTTCCATCTATATAATTAGAAGATTTTAGTAAGTGATGTCTCAGGCCACTTTGGTGCTCTAAATTTTGGTGTATTATATAATCAGTCATACTTCTGATGAAGTCTGTTTATTCCAAAGATAAAAACTACATGTGGTAGAATTATTAAGTTTTCATTTACAATTTTCAAATATCCTTAGAAATTAGCAGGCCACTAAATTTTGGGCAAATTAAATTTAGTTTTAGATGGCATTCACTAAGTTTTTTCTTATTCAAAATTACTTCTTCAGTAAGTTCTTAAATGAAATGTAGATATAAATAAACAAATATTATATAATTTGTCATAATTGTTAAGATAGTTGGATATTCTTAAGGAATCCTCTTTAAGAGTCCATAAGTCCATATTATTGATTAGTTCATGTAATACTTTTTGTTTTTGTGGGGATACTAGTATTGGGGCTTGAATATAGGGACTGGCCACTATTCCTGAGATTTTGTGCTCAACGGTAGTGCTATACTACTTTGAGCCACAGCTCTACTTCTGGCTTTTTGGTAATTAATTGGAGATAAGAGTCTCACAGACTTTTCCTACCAAGCTGTCTTTGAACCAAGACTCTCAGATATCATCTTCTTGAGTAGCTAGGATTACAGGCATGAGCACTGGCAGTGGTTAGTTGAGGTAGTAGGACGGAAAAGCATGACCAGAAAGCTCTAGTTGACTTAACTGTGGCTAGTTTTAAAATTGCATTCATTTCTATTTCAGTTTCTCATGTTAACAACACGCTTACTATTTAAAAGTGTTTTTAAGGTTTTACTATCTTTTTCAATTTACTTTCCAGAATTACTCAAAATGAAATTGCAATACGAGATTCTGTAATGTACCTCCACCCTCTCACCAAATGTTCACAGCTTCTTCAGAATTGAGATTTACATGGGGAGTGGCTGGGATTGTCTCTTTCTAGCCAAAAGAAACGGAGACATTTAGTACTCTGGAAGAGTTTGAGAATTCACTCTACATTTCTAAGTTTGAAGTTGGATGTTAGCAAGAGTAATCAGAGATCTCTATCTTTTTATAACATTAGCTTCAATCACTCTACTCTTTTTGCTTCTCTGTTAGATTGCTACATAATAGTTATTTGAAGAAAATGTCTTCTTGGTAAAATTTAGTTTAAATATCATAATCATATATATTATTGAAATAGTTATACTTTATATTTCTAGCACATAGTAAAGTAAGAACAATAGTGAATTCTTATCAAACCAAATATGTTCTTTCATTCAATTCTATAAGTCCATTTTGGTTTTCTGTTTGTGACAGTCTAGAAGTCCTGCCTGTTTTGCCTGTCTTAATATTTATTTTTATATTCTTGGGTGAAGTATTCACAACCTCTTGTCAATTGTCAAACCCCAAATGTCAGTGTCAAATCCTTCTTTTGCTTTTTAGGTTTGACCACCTATATAATGGAAAAATCTGGGCCAAATGACCTCTGTGGTTTACTCTATTACAAGTACCCAGAATGACTGTATCTATTCTGTTGTATCATCTGTGCTCTACAGTAGTGGCCCTGTAGCCATTGTAGTATTTAGCCTTCATGTATCCAAGGTAGTCACATACCACTGTCTGAAATAACTCACCTTGATTTTCTGTGGCACTTGACCCTTCTTAAGGGATTCCAAGATTCACAATTCTTCCACTTTTACCTTAGAGATCCAGTGCTCCAGAGAAGAGGAGCCTAAGAAGGAAAAGTTACTGTCAAGTCGTACTTTTGAGCTTACTTCTGCTGCAAGAAACTGTTTAGAAAGCACACTTATCACTGTTTGAATATAAGCTCTTCATTTTTAAGTCCATAAATTTTTCAATTTAATTATCAGTAATTAATAGACAGAAAGAAATGATGCATATATTCAGTTGTCATGCTAACAATGAAATTTTAATTGTATTCTGTTTGTTCTTATATCCCTTTTCAGTTTTTCTGATTTGACTAAGCTGGTTATCAATGTAATTATTAATATGAAACTTACTAGAGCCTTTTGACATTTGATTTGAGTGGTATTTTTGTTTTTATGTTTAAATTATATATGTGATGTTTGAACGAAATGAAATGCTAGAATTTTGATACTGATGATGTAGAATGATTTTTAAAATAAGTCTTAGTAAATGGTGATAATAAAGCCATATACAAATTGTGTTTTACATGCACAATAGAATTTTTCTAGGCTTCACCCATGCCATAGATCATGTTGAGTATGAGTTGAATAGTATGGTTGAGAGCATCTATGTCATTTAGTTAGGTGGTTAGTGAGCTACAATATTTATAAAAAGGTAGTTTAAATTACTATGTAATAACTGTCATGATATATATATATATATGTATATATATATATTTACACATACATATTTTTGTATTTTACACTGATATAGATAAAAATCATTAAGAAAATAATTCTGTTTTGGCTCTTATCCTTACCTAACAATAAGTTATGATAGAATTCAAAGGTATTAGTTGGATTTAGGCAACAAGAGCTTAAATAGGTCCTTAAAATTTTTTTATGTTTTTGAAAACCAGTATTCTTGAGTAGGAAGTTTCAATACTTTAATATAAAATTTTAATATTTAATTTCAATGTTTAGAAAAGTATTCATGTTAAAAGTGTAACAGAAGCAGAAGTAAAAATCTAGTCTCATAATTCAAATGAACTTCATCTTCTGGATTGCCAAAGACTATGGTATTGCAATAGACCTTCACTGACAGCCTAGGCCTTTATCTTAAACTTTGTTTTGGTTAGACCCATGTTTATGCTATTTGTATACTGGTATAGTCTTAGATTATGGCTCCACTACAAAAAAAAGAATGTAAATGGTATCAGTACCAGAAACGAGCCTGAGAAGTTTACCTATTTTACCTCAGATAACCCTTATAACACAGAGCTAAATACTCTTACTTGTATTTTATACTTAAGGATACTGAAGTACAGAGACTACTTAAGGCCATGTTGCTAGTAAATTGTGGGGCCAGGATTAGAATCTATATAGTCCAAAACAACAGAAATCACTTGCAGTTTATCAATTTTCTGAAGAAATCTCAATTCTTTGTTATTAGTTGAGGCTAATGTAATTTAAAACATTGTGCCATATTTTATCTTTCTAATTGAACATTTATTTTTCCCCTCCAACCTACAGGAATATCAAAACCAGAAAAAAAAGTGAAATTGGAAGAAAAAAGCTCAACTGCATTTGGTATGGACAGAATGTAATCTTTAAGCAAAAGATTAACAGAGATGGAGGGCAGAGTCTTTCTCTCCCTTCCCTGCTAGGGCTCCTTATACTGTTCGTAATCATCTGCTTCCATCCTTATCAGTGTAACTTGGCTCCAGATAACAATAGTTCTTTAGTGCATATCTTGTAGTTATATATGTGCTTTGTTTTCAAGGAAATCTCTGGTCTTTAAAAAAAACTCAGGTTTCTGAAAATTTTTACTTAAAATTGTGGATGGCTATTTAAAAACAAGCTTTCATTTAATATTGTTGAGATTTACCAAATGGATAATACATTAGAAATTAGAATGATTGATTTTTAGGTGTTCAGTTTTCTTTATTTAAAAAGTTACTGATTTTTTTCCCCTAAGATTTCTCTCTTCTGGTATAATGAATAGAGGCATGTAATACTGCATGAGTCTTAAATATGCTTTAGCTTAGTTAACTGAAGTTTGGGTCACTGAAAGTTGGCTAAATATGGTTGACAAATTGTGGGCTTAACCACTATGGGCTGGAATTACTAGAGTATATGTTATGATTTAAATTTAAATATAATGTTCTAGAATACTTTGTATAATCTACTTATTCTTTTATGTATATGTGGTTGGGTAAAGAATGCTTTTACATTTTGGGGCAAAATAGTATATCATGAAATAAGTATTTTTTCCCTATATGTTTTTAGTTTTCATGTACAAAGAAGAAAAAATTTAAATATGAAAGGAGTTATTTATGGATTGATTTAATTGATTTTTTTCAGAGAAAAATTCAGATTTTTTATAATAATTGAATAATTTTATTAGATTACATATGCAAATGCTTTTTTTAGTGAGGTCTTTTTAAAACATGGGGTTTATCTTCATGCCACATATCAGGAAATTTAGTCTGTAGCTCATATAAAGGTTTTAACTACTGTCTGTGTTAACTTTAAGGTGTCAGGAGTTGGGATATCTCAACACTGCTAATGAAGATCCCCTCTTATAGTCCAGTAAGCTAAGCAGGAGTTCCAGACTCTGACAGGAACACTTTAATTGAATCCATCCACTCCGGGCAGGTGACTGGAATAGCTGATGAAAACATGAATGTGCTTTAGGCTAACCATATAGGAACAATTCAGAGTCTCTCATGATTATTGAAGTATTCACTTTTATCTCTTAGGAAAGAGGAAAGAAAAGGATAAGGAAAGAAAAGAGAAGCGAGACAAAGATCACTACAAACCAAAACAGAAAAAGAAGAAGAAAAAGAAAAAGAAATCTAAGCAGCATGGTAAGTTGGTTATTTCCATTTTTAGTATTCTGGGTTATTTCTGTCTTCCTTTTTTTTTTAACTGTAATAGAGGTATGATAACATTCACATGTTTTCAAGAACGCAGATGTTCTTGTACCTTTGTCCTACCATTTCTAAAATAAACTTGTTTTATTCTAGTTTAAAAATTAATCATTGAAATTGATTGCAGACTCATTTTCCACATTATCATGGACTGCGTAGTCTTACCAAGCACCCTTCAGCATGCTCAAGGAGTTATTCCTATCTGAGAATTGTAGAGACCATTAGATTGGTTTCCAAGAGAGAGAGAAATGAGGGAGAAATACAGATATATTTTAGGAAAACTTGGAAGACCAACAGAATTTGCTATCAACAGTCAGTCCAGTGCTAAAAGGAGTTCTAAAGATGTACTTGAAAGCAGAACATAATTTTGGCAAAGGGACAGTATGAGATGTAGAAGATATATTGAACACAGTGTAAATGTGATCAGTCTAAACACTGACCATGTAGAACAAAAATATGTAATACTGGTTTATAAATTAGGAGGCACACGCTTATATTTCATTGTGGTTTTTATGCACTTTGTATTGTTAATGGGGGGAATGAAATATGTAATCACTAATAGACTCCAATAAGGTAAATTTACATAATAAAATTTTTAATTAAACAAGGAAGAATAGAGTATAATTGACATAGTAGAAAGGAGAAGAACATAGTGAATAAGCTCTTCACATCCAAAGAAGACAATATGAGAATAAATTTGGATAAAAAGAACAATATAAGTTCCAAAAATAAATCTAAATATATCATTAACTATTTCTATCATAAGTGTGTTATGCAGCTTTCTATTACTATCATAAAGTATCCAAGAAAAGTCAACTTAAAACAAGAAAGATTTGGGGCTGGGAAGGTGGCTCAGTGGTAGAGCGCTTGCCTTGCATGCATGAGGTCCTGGGTTCGATTCCTCAGCACCACATAAGCAAAAAGAAAAAAGCCGGAAGTGGTGCTGTGGCTCAAGTGGTAGAGCACTAGCCTTGAGCTGAAGAGCTGAGGGACAGCCCCCAGGCCCAGAGTTCAAGCCCCGTGACCAGACCCAAAAAAAAACAAGAAAGATTTGCTGGGTGTTGGTGGCTCATGCCTCTAATCCTAGCTACACAGGAGGCTGAGATCTGAGGATTGCTATTCAAAGCCAGCCTGGGCAGGAAAGTCTGTGAGACTCTTACCTACAATTAACCACCAGAAAACTGGAAGTGGCACTGGTTTAAGTGGTAGAGTGCTTGCCTTGAGCTGAGGAGCGTAGGGACATGCCCAAGCCCAGAGTTCAACCCTCACGACCACCAAAAACAAAGAAGGATTTATTTTGGCTTTAATTGCAGAAGTTTCAGTGCAGATCTTGGCCTCATTGTTTCTCAGCCTGTACTGAGGCAGGACTTCATGGTAAGGAACATGTTGGTGGAGCTAAGCTGTTCCCCACATGGAGGCCAGGAAGCAGGAAGAGGAAGGGGCTGGAGATAGATATACCCTTGTAGGAAAAGCCCCTAGTGACCTACTTTATCTGATAGCCTCCTACTAGCTAATTAAGCTCTGAATAGATTAATCCACTGATGAGATCAGATCTTCTTGATACAGTCACCTCCTGAAGCTTCCAGGTCAGAACACTTTCATTGGAGAACAAGCCTTCAGCATGTGAGCTTTTTGTTGTTGTTGTTGGTTGTGATGCCTGAACTTTTCAGCTCAAGGCTAGCACTCTACCACTTGAGCCATAGCACCACTTCTGGCTTTTCCTTCTTATGTGGTGCTGAGTAATCAAACCCAAGGCCTCATGCATGCAATACAAGGACTCTTCCACTGAGCCACCTTCCCAGCCCAGCATGTGAGCTTTTGTTGGGACATTTTACATCAAAAACCATACCAATAATTTTTAATTCGGTTTTCTATTATTTATAAAAGATATATGTACGTATAAATATACACAAGGTAGGGTAACATTGAAATAGAAGTATGGGTAAAAGAATAGTTCTAATCAAAAGAAAAATTACAGCAGATATATTAAAAGCAAGTATTGTCATTGAGAATAGAGATAGGAAGTTACAATGATGAATGTTTACTTTTATACTTCTTAGATTAAAAAAAAATTCTAAACTTTGTCACTTTTACACCATTGTATCTCTCTTGGTAAATAGATAGGCAAACCTAAAAAGTATTCTGTCAGAATATTAAGCAGCCTGTTGAGACTGTACATTTGGTGCAGTCAGTGTAACAGGACACTGAATTGCTGTGGTGGTTGTTTTTCTTTACCATATACCCAACAGTTCTGACCAGTAGGTACAGCTTTAAGCTGATCTCAAAACGTGAATATTGGTGTTGGATAATAGAGATCCATGGTTTCTGACCACAATTTAGTCCACTAACCAGTATCAAAAAGATAAATAGAAAACTCCAAAAGATTAAAAATAACCGGCACATTTCTAAATTGTTATAGGTCAAGAGCCAGGCACAAAGAGCAAGTTAAAAAGTTGTTAAGAACATGAAAGATAATGGAAATATATGTCAATACTTGTGAGAGTACTTGGAATGATAGTTTGAGGGAGTAATGGAGGGAGACATTCTCCCTATATAGCCCAGGCTGGTCTTGAACTTGTAATCCTTTTGCCTCAGGTTCCAGAATTCTGGGATTACAGGTGTATGTCACCATTCTACCTATTTAAATGACACCTATAGGGGCAAAATGATATACATACTTATGTAAGGATATATAATACTTACATTATGTAAGGATAAATTGCCTATGACTGCTTCATAGAAAAAAATCCAAAAATGTACAAATAAGTAAAAAGCATATGAGCTAAGAAATTGCTAAGAAGAATTTTAAAATGCTGAATTTTGTTAATTGGAAAAAAAATATCAACAGACTTCTGGGAAGACTGCTAAAGGGAAAAAAAAGACACCATGTACAAGAAGATAATAAGAATAAAGAAATCCCAGCACTAGTGTCTTATACCAGTCATCCAAGCTACTCAGGAGGCTTAGATCTGAGGATCACTTCCTGAGGAAGGAACGTCTGAGACTTATCTCCAATTAAGTATCAAAAAATAGGAAGTTGAGCTGTGGCTCAAGTGGTAGAACATTAACCTTGAGCAACAGAAGCCCCGAGACAGCTCCCATGCTCCTGAGCTCAAGCCCCAGGACTGGTACCAAACAACAACAACAATAACAACAAAAGGAAGAAGTCCAGGCACCAGTGGCTAATGCCTGTAATCCTAGCTAATCTGGAGGCTGCAATCAGAGGATCTTATTTCAAAGCCAGCATGGGCAGGAAAGTCTGTGAGACTTGAATTAACCACCAGAAAACTGGAAGTGGCACTGTGGCTCAAAAGTGGTAGAGTGCTAGCCTCAAAACAAATATAATTTGTATTTAAAAATCTTCCTGCAAAGAAAAAACCCAGGCTTGAACAGTTTTCCTTTAAGTTCTTCTAATTATTAAAGGAATTGATTGTTCCAATTATTTTATGCTGTGCATTTGAAGATCTAGCCTCTGAGAAGCTTATGTGAGGGGACTGCTTAAATTCAGAAGCTAAGGACCAGCCTGGGAAACATAGTGAGACTTTGCTTCAAAAATAACCTCACATAAGGGGAAACAAAGGAGGAGGCAACAATGCTTGATAAGAACTGTACTCATTGGGCTGGGAAGGTGGCTCAGTGGTAGAGCGCTTGCCTTGCATGCCTGAGGCCCTGGGTTCGATTCCTCAGCACCACATAAGCAAAAAGAAAAAAGCCGGAAGTGGCGCTGTGGCTCAAGTGGTAGAGCGCTAGCCTTGAGCTGAAGAGCTGAGGGACAGCGCCCAGGCCCAGAGTTCAGGCCCCACGACCGGACCCCAAAAAAAAAAAAAAAAAAAAAAAGAACTGTACTCATTACCTTGCTCATGTAATTGTAACCCTTCTTATACGATATTTTCACAATAAAAAATCATGCAATAATGAAGTAAAAAAAAATAACCTCACAATTTTTAAAAGAGGAAACACATAAACAATGTGGTGAATACTTTCCTCACCACGTATATCTCCCTGTAATAAACAATGTGATGAATACTTTCCTCACCAAGTATATCTCCCTGTAATTAACCCTTTGTACTTAAGAACTTGACATTACTCTAGATCTTTGCTGATTTGATTAAATTATCTCAGAATGAGATGTCAAGAGTTAAGGGTTTGTGATCCATAGGGGAGAAAATCATATAGCACAGCTGAAGTTGGAGTAATACAACCCTCAGCCAAGGACCTGTAGCCACAGAAGCTGTAAGAGGTGAATAAAGGCTTTGCTCCTGGAGCCTTCAAAGGGGGCCAGGCTCTGTCAATCTGTATTTTGATTTTGGACATCTTACCTTAAACTCGACAGAATGAACTTTTATTGTTTTTAGCTACCAAATTTGGTACTTCCTTGTGGTACCTCTAGAAAACTACTGTAATTCCAAATGTCTTTTCAACTAAATAACTGCACTAAAAATCAGCAGTAATACAATGGGGAAAGGTAACTATCAGTTATCATTTATGACAGCATGCAAAACCCACAAACTGATATTATTTTTTTTATTGTGAGAATACTGTGCAGAGTGGTTACAATTACATGGGCAAGATAATGAGTACATTTCTTATCAAGTATTGTAGCCTCCTCCTTTGTTTCCCCTTCCCATCCCTTCCCAGCCTCCCCCCGCCCCCTCACCCAATCCTCCCCCCCCCACCAAAGTTGTAAAGTTCGTTTTCAACATGACAACTTGTACTTCTCATTGTTGCAACGGGTCCACCTGTATCCTTATTTAAACGACTTGTTTTTCCCCTTCCCCTCCACAAATTATACCGACATCAAATACAGTGAAAGCAAGGGTTATACTGTGGGGGAGGGACATACAAAGCAACAAAGCAAACTGATATTATTAACCTAAGCAATTACATTTAGTACCATATATAAAGGACATAACCAACCCTCTGTTTCGATTACAACA